GTAGCATAACCCAGCACTCAGGAAGCAGAGGCAGGTGAATATCTGTGAGTCTGAGGCCAACCTGGTCTACATAGTGAGTTCCAGGTCAGCCAGTGCTACAAGGTAAGACCATGTCTCCAAACAAACAAACAAACAAACAAACAAACAAACAAACAAACAGTTTCAGGGTGTAATTCCTATCCATCTTGCTTGGATGCCTCCCACATTTATTTATTTATTTTTTCATTTATTTATTTATTTATTTATTGGTCTTTTTGAGACAAGGTCTCTCTGTAGCCCCAGCTGTCGTGGAACTCACTATGTAGACCAGGCTGGCTTTGAACTCACAGAGATCCACCCTGCCTCTGCCTCCTGAGTGCTGGGATTAAAGGCGTGCGCCACCACCCCCAGCATTATTTGTTTTTTCTGAGATGGGGTCTCCCTGTAGCCTGAGCTGGCCTGGAATTCATTGTGTAGACCACACTGACCTTGAACTCACAGAGATTCACCTGCCTCTGCATCCCCAGTGCTGGGATTAGAGCTGTGTACCACCACACCTGGATATTTTTTAATTTTAAAAATTTATTTATTATTTTATGTGTATGAATGTTTTGCCTGCATGTATATAAGTCTACCCATGTTAGCTGGGCATGGTGGTGCATGCCTGTAGTCCCAGCACTTGGGAGGCAGGGGCAGGTGGATCTCTGTGAGTTCAAGGCCAGCCTGGTCTACATAGTACATTCCAGGCCAGCTGGGGCTTCAGGGAGACCCTGTTTCAAAAAGACCAAAAACAACAACAACAAAAACCCCAAATAAGTCTACTCGTGTTGCACAGTGCCTGCGGAGATCAGAAGAGGGCACTGGAGCCCCTCTGGAGTTTTGGATGGTTGTTAGCCTCCATGCGGGTGCTGGGACCTCAACCTGAGTTCCCTGCAAGAGCAACCAGTGCTCTTAACCACTGAGCCATCATCTCTCCAGCCCCACACTCCTATATTTATTGCTACTTTATTTAGAAAGTAACAGAAAAGGCCACACAAAGTAGCTTAGACAGTAAACTCTGGAGCCCCTTCCACCTTTAGGCATGGCGTGACCCAGCAGCTCAGTGATGATGGTAAGGACTTGTTTCTCTGTCTTTCCTTCCCATCATCTGTGGTACTGATCTCATTCTAAGGATGACCATCCCAGGATGTGTTTGGCACCTTTAGTTATTTCTTTTTATTACTGAAATGTAAAGAGGGTGCCTTATACTCCCACTGAAAGTTCTAAGATGCATTCTAATCATAGGCACATCTTCAAACTGGTTACCAGTGGTGTGGTGGGGAGCTGGCAGACACAGGTTGATCTGGACAAAGTTAAGTGTTCCATCCCCAGAGCAACACAGAGCCTCCAAAGGAAACTGGGGGCTAGTGAATAAAACCTGAGTTCTGAGACTGGAGAGATGGCTCAGTGGTTAAAAACATTGGCTGCTCTTGCAGAGGATCCAGGCTTGGTTCTCAGCACTCACATTGTGGCTCACAATCATCTGTAACTCCAGTTCCAGGGGATCCAACAGCCTCTTCTGTCCTCCATGGGCATTTCATGACATGGGTGCACTTACATGCATGCAGGCAAAACACACATACACATAAAATAAAAATAATTTAAAAATTTTTATGTGTATCACCTTCATGTGTGTAAGTTCATTTTTTTAATATTTTATTATTTTTATGTGTATACATATATTGCCTGCATGTAGGTAAGTGCACCTGTGTCGTGCAATGCCTGAGGAAGACAGAAGAGGCTGTCAGATCCCCTGGAACTGGAGTTATGGACAGTTGTTAGCTGCCATGTGGGTGCTGGGATTCGAACCCGGGTCTTCTGCAAGAACAACTAGTGTTCTTAACTGCTGAGCCATTTCTCCAGCCCCTAAAAATTTTTTTTAAAAAAAGGAAATTGAGCTGGGTGTGGTGGCACGTACCTCTAATCTCAGCACTTGGGAGGCAGAGGCAGGCAGATCTCTGTGAGCTTGAGGCCAGC